AGTTTTGCTGGCTATATAATTCTTGGCTGGCAATGTTTTTTTCCAAGGCTTTATATATGTCATCTCATTGCTTTCTTGCCTGCATGGTTTCTTCTGAGTAGTCCGAGCTTAGCTGTATTGACTCTCCTTTGTAGATGAGTTTTCATTAATCCCTAGCTGCTCTTCAAATTCTTTCTTTATCTTTGGTTTTGGCAGGTTTTATTATAGTATGTTTCGGTGACTTTCTTTCGGGATCTACCTTATGTGGGATTCAGTGAGCATCTTGGATAGATATCTTCTCGTCTTTCATGATATCAGGGAACTTTTCTGCCAACAAATCTTCAACAATTCTCTGTGTATTTTTTGTTATTCCTCCCCTGTTCTGGTACTCCAATCACTTGTAGGCTATTCCTCTTGATAGAGTCCCACATTATTATTAGGGTTTCTTCATTTTTTTAAATCCTTTTATCTGACTTTTCCTCAAATAAGTTGGTGTCAAGGGCTTCATCTTCAGTCTTACTAATTCTGACTTCCATTGCCTCAATTCTGCTCCTATGACTTTTTATTGAATTGTCCAATTCTGAAATTTTATTGTTAATCTTCTGGATTTCTGTTTTCTGTCTCTCTATGGATTCTTACAGCCTGTTAAATTTGTCCTTGTGCTTTTCTATAATCTTCTTAAGTTCCTCTGTTGCTTTGTCTGTGTGTTCCTTGGCTTGTTCTGCATTTTTAATGATCACCTTCCTGATCTCTTGAAGAGTTCTGTATATTAATCTTTTGTATTCTACCTCTGGTAATTCCAAGAAGTTCTCTTCCTCCGGAAGATTTCTTGATTCTTTGTTTTGGGAGCTTGCTGAAGCCATCATGGTGTGCCTCTTTATGTGATTTTATATTGACTGTTGTCTCCAAGCCATCAATAAGTTATTATATTTATTTATTTTATGTTTGCTTACTGTGTCCTACCTTGTTGTTTTGATATGCCCGCATAAGCTGGTCATGTGAGCTGGTTTGATTATTGGCGTCTTTGAAGCTCTAACGTTCTGTCACCAGGTGGTTAGATGTGTTACTAGGTATGTGAGCTCAGGTGTCCAGATAGTCGGTCACCAACTGTGTGGTGCAGGCTCTCATCTACAGTCCTAGATGGGCAGGGGTGATTGGAGTAGGCATAGGAATCTGGCTGCAGTAGGGGATCACACGCCGAGCATGGCAGGGAGCTGATGGCTGCCCCTGAGTGTCTAGGAGGAAAGTGTGTCCCTGATCCCTAGGGTGCATAGGTGTGTGGGTTTTGCAGCTGGACTGTGGGCACCCAGTGCTGTTGGCTGTAAGGACTGGGAAGCACCACTGTTGCAGGTGGCTAAGTGGCATGGGTGGAGCCACCAGTCCTCAGGCCCCTGATGTGGGTAGGTGAGGACCCTGCTTAATGAGCAGAGCAGTATCAAATGTCACAAACTTGCCACTCCACCAGATAGCTGATACGGTGAATTAGGCTTCAGGTATATATCCTGTTGTACTGTGCTAATGAGGGCCTACACTGTTGAAATGGACCCACACAGGTCTATGCAGGGGTGAAAGGCATTCAGAGTCTGTGGACCTCTTACGCCTATGCCTGGTCAAAGGAGTTGTGCCTGCCCTGAGTTCCCAGCTTAGGGGAGCTTTCAGATTATTTTTTCCTGTTTGTTAATTTGTTCCCTCTCCAAGGCCGGGAGAATGGCTCAGGGTGCATAGTGGGTCCTACTTCGGCCCAGGGGATGCAGCAATCGTTGAAGCCAGCCTGTTGCAGAGCAGGGAGAGAGCAGGTAAATGGGAGAGAGGTTTTCCCAAATGGGGTATTTTTTGATCCACATGGTAGATTAAACCCATGTACTTACCTTTTACTGATTGTGTGCCCCCCTTTTACTGAGCAGACTCTCTGCCACTCGGTCTTCCCTGACATGGAAAATGCGTCCCAAATGCCAGTTCCTGCCTCACTGCGCACGCCAGCTGATGCTGTCTGCAGGGTGCTGGAACAGGTCCGGCAACTCCTCACTGCTTCTGAACCATCTGAACCCTTGCCACTCAGTCCATTTCCTCAGGCCTCCTAGACTGTCTTATATAATCGATTCACTTTTTTTTTGGGTCTTTGTTGTAAGAGGTACCACCAGAAGCATTTGACCACTCTGCCATCTTGGCCCCGCCTTCCTCCCCCTCATTTTTGAATGACAAATTTGCTGGGTAAAGAATTCTTAGTTGGGAAAAAAAAAAAAGGTCCTCCAAGGTCAAGAAGGGAGAGTGTTGACATGTCGTGGGGTTGTTAACCAATGTCATAAAACAATATGTGTACTGACTGTTTAATGAGAAACTGTTCTGTAAACCTTCACCCAAAGTATAATAAAAATATCAAACCAAAAATTAAAAAAAGAGGAAGAATTCTTGGTTGGCAATTGTTTTCATTCAGTATTTTATGTATGTCTCTCCATTGTTTTCTGGCCCCTGGAGTTTCTGGGGAGAAATCAACACTGATTACTATGAAGGACCCTTGGTATATATTATGTCATGTTTTTCCTCTCGCTGCTTTCAGAATTTTCTCCTTGTCTTTAATTTTCAAGAATTTTATTAGGATATGGCATGGTGTTGATTTTTTGAGTGAGTATTTATTCTAATTGGGGTTCGTGTAGCTTCCTGTATTTGTAGGCTTGGTTTTTTGCTCATGTCTGGGAAATTTCCTCTGATTATCTCCTGGAGAATTGTTTCTTTGCCTTTATTGTTGTCATGGTGCTCCAGGATCCCAATAATTCTAATGTTAGATTTCTTAATTGAATCCCATATTTCCATTTAGGTTTATTCGCTTTTGTTTGTTCTTTTCTTATTTCTCTTGAGAGTTGATAAGTTCAGTTATTTTTTCTTCTAGTTCATTTATTCTGTCTTTTGTCTGTTTAACTCTGTTGTTGCGTATTTCTCTTGCTTTTTCTAACTCAGTTGCTTTATTCTTTAGTTCCAGTAGTTCTCTTTTTTTTTCCTATTTCCCTGTTGAGTCTCTCATTTTGTTCCTTCATTTGTTTCCTTATCTCCACTAGTTTGTTTTCTGTGTGCTTTTTGCTTTCGTTAAACATATTTAGCACTGTAGTCTGAAAATTTTCAATTCGTTCTGTTAGTCTGGCCTCCATAGGGGAAATTTCCTCTTCATGTTTTGCTTTTGATTGGTCCTTTTTATGTTACGATTTTGTGTGTTTTACTGTTTTTTGTTGAACATAGGCCATTTTGTTTTTATTATTATTATTACTATTTTAAGTTTTGTATCCTGGTTTTTGTGGGAAATTTTTCTGATTGGACACCTTGCTGGCACCGTGGCCAAGCACCTGGCTGCCATCTAAGAGGCTGGGGCCCATACCCACCAGCTACCCCACGGGACAAAGATGTGGCCACCTGCTTCTGCAAAGACATACAGCCCTGGAAACCCCACAGGAGCTCCACTCCACCCCACAAAATCGACCTAGTGGCAGTGGGCCTGGTATTTTCTGAGAACCACTGGAGGTCACTCTTATCCTTAGGTTTTTTTCAGTACTGATTCTGGAATTCTGGATGCTTGATCTCTGAAATTCAGTACGCATGCACAGGTAGGGGTTAGTTTAGCTGGTTGCAGATGCTGACATAAGCACTGGGGTCAACTTTCCTGTGGTGAAGTTGGGAGGGCTCTCTGTGTCTTTCCTTCATGGGTGCCCCTGCACAGGCTCTCCCATGATGTCCTGCTGTGAGCAGGGAGCCGTTTCCACCTATGTTGCCCATCAGTCTGAAGGATACCCCTCGCCCTGCTGCCTTTGCAGTTCCTCCCGGTCCTAGTGCCCGTCTGTCTCAGGCTTCAGGGAGATTCAACAGCACACTCTTGCAGTGCCATGGTCTCCCTTTATCCCCTCCCAATTATGTGGCCCGTGAATTCCCATGGTCAATCTGTGCCACCTTAAAAAATTGGGCTACAGCTTTTTCAGATCATCTTCCTTTCTGCATTCCCTGTTTGGGATGTTTCCAGGCCTATCCCAAAATGGCTGTGAGGAGCAAGTGTTCCAGATGTTAATGGGTAGGTTCTTGCAGCTTCTGTGCTGTCCCCATTCCTCCTCTCCCCTGCTTCTGGACTCACCCTGACTCTCTAACACCTCAGCTGCCATTCAGAGTTCTGAGATCTCAGTCTGTGCTTGTTTTTATTTATTATTCTGTGGTTTAGTTCCTGGGGGCATAAAGGGGAACATACACCAACTTCACCAACTTGCTCTGCCCTCTTTTCCCCCTTCTTTGTATAGCTTAGTCTTTCTCTTTAATCCTGTACATTTATTTCCAATGTCTGGTGATCCTTGGTTTTGCTTCCATATTTAAAAATGAGATCCTAGAGAAAAGCTTTGTGTACATGGATGGGAATTGGTGACTAGAAGACACTGTTTGAGGGCAAGCAGATGGAAAGCTGGCCATTATGCTTTGCCACCCCTAACTGCCGGATTGTGGAGGACTTTGCTTTGGGCCACCATCTTTTACATTAGCTGCTCTGGCTCTCTCCACACCATTCAGTTTCTTTAAAGAATAACCCGTGAATATGTATTGTGCATATAATACGCACACATATCCTGGAGAAATACCTACTAGTCAAGTATTCTGATTAAATGGTCTGTAAACTTTGAATTCCCCTGTTTTCAGTCCAACATATGTTTGCTCTGAACTCTATGGTGCCTTACGTTTTTGGGCTTGAGCCAGTTCTCCATGTTTAGGGGGCAGATTGCCTCCCACCTCAGCTGTAGGCTTCCTGTCCAATAGTTACATTTTCCTTCACTCACCTCTCTTCTGTCAGCTTTCTGTTTTCTAGAAATTTGTTAAAATCTCGTTTACTGATCGGCTCCTCTTCTAATCTCTTTGCTGTTGGATATTTCTGTAGCTCTTAAGAATTGTACATTTTATTTTAATTTTGCATGTTTATGTTAATATGGTTTTTATGAAAAACCAAAGCTAGCCATAGATTTCTGTGTTCTTACAGTATTATTTTCTTTTTTTATCTAAAACAGTTGATGACTATCAGCCAGTTCGTCTATTAAGTATACCTGGGGAACTGAGAAGAGAATATGAAGAGGAGATAAGGAAGGTAAGTGCTAAATGTTCTTTGTTAGAAAATTCTCTATTATATTTTCAGCTTCATATTTTACATACAGTTATGTGCTTATATAAGTAGTATATATTGAAATTTAAATAATTTTAACGTACTTTAGAAAGGCTCTAATTTTCACACGTGTTCCAAATAGTTAGAAACTAGCTTTAGCTTACTTACAGATAATTGGTGCTTTTCTTATATGGTAAGTACAAGGGAAAATTTTCAGTTTCCCTGAAGCTTTGAGCTTAAAGAATGGAAAAAGGGTGGTAGAGTGTTGGTTTAGATGAGGAGACTGTGAAGGGCTAATTGTGAACTGCTTGGAGCCCTGGTGGCATGGTGGTTAAGCATTTGGCTGCTAACCAAAAGGTCGGCAGTTCGAGTCCACCAGCTGCTCCTTCGAAACCCACCCTATGGGGCAGTTCTGCTCTGTCCTATCGGGTCACTGTGAATTGGAATCAACTCAACAGCAACAGGTTTGGGGTTTTTTTTTTTGAGTGAAGTACTTAAATAGGAAAAGAAGGGAGGAGTGTTTTCAGTGAAGCATTTGAACTGGAGAGCCCTAGTACTTCCCACACCCTCCTGCTCTGTGTAGAGCAGCACCATCCAGTAGAAGTATAATGTGAGCCCATGTGTAATTTAAAATTTTCTAGTAGCCACATTAAAAAAAAAGTCAAATTTTAATATTATATTTTATTTAATCTAGTATATCCAAAATACCATTTTGTCATATAATCAATATAAAATTATTAATTATGTTTATAATTAATTGTGTAATTAGAATTACATTATATTGTTATATACATATAAAGTTATATATATAATTAATGAGAGAGTTTACATTATTTTTTTCTTACTAGTTTTCAAAATCTTTTGTGTATTTTGCACTGACAACATATCTCAATTCAGATTAGCCACATGTATCTAGTGGCTGCTAGTCTAGACCTCATAAGTAATAAATCATTATTACAACTAACGTAATTGTCAGCATATTGTCTAAGCATAGTGCTAAATAAGGGTTTTAAAGCAGTTTTTAATGCTCACAACAAGATAGTGAGAACAGGCTCTATCAGGATACTTTTGACTACAAATTAAAAAAAACCCATCTCAAACTACCTTAAATAATAAGAAATTGTAATTAACTGGAATTCCAAAGGTGTGGGCTTCAGGGTTGGTTTCATCCAGAGCGCTAGCTCCATTTCCTTGCTGACTGACTTCCTCAGATGCATAAAAAAACAACAGGAAGGAGAAGACAAGACATCTCTTCCTATGCTTTCCTTTATGAGCAAGCAAACTTAGAATTCCTCTCGTGAACTTTTCCCCATGTCTGATTTACTCTGACTGGATCAAGGGCTTATTCTTTTTTTTTTTATTGTACTTTAGATGAAGGTTTACAGAACAAATAGTTTCTCATTAAACAGTTAGTACACATACTGTTTTATGACAATGGTTAACAACCCCATGATATGTCAACACTGTCCCTTCTGAACCTTCGGTTTTCTATTACCAGCTTCCTGTCCCCTCCTGCCTTCTAGTCCTTGTCCCTGGACTATTGTTCCCCATTAGTCTCATTTTTTTTCATGGGGCTGTCTAATTTTTGCCTGAAGGGTGAACCTCGGGAGTGACTTCATTACTGAGCTAAAAGGGTGTCTAGGGGCCATACTCTCGGGGTTACTTCAGTCTCTGTCAGGCCAGTAAGCCTGGTCTTTTTTGTGAGTTAGAATTTTGTTCTACATTTTTCTCCAGCTCTGTCCGGGACCCTCTGTTGTGATTTCTGTCAGAGCAGTCGGTGGTAGCCAGGCACCATCTAGTTGTACTGTCAAGGGCTTATTCTTAAACCAAATTCTTAGTATTGCTAAAGTAGTTCTAGTATTATTTCTTTCAGGCATTATAATTTGAATGTCTACAAGCCTCACCTTAGGTTCTAGAATCTGGATGGAGTCCCAGTTCTGCCACTTACTGACCTTAGAAAGTTATTTGCTTTTCTATACCTCACTTCCCTTATCTGTTAATCAGAGATAATAATCATAATGGCCAATGGGGTTGTTTCTTCAACATCTGTCCCACTCCTGCCCTCACTATTTGGGGGTTGGCTCCAACTCCAGGGATAACCCTGATTGGTCTAAGCCAGTTTTACTAGGATTAGGCCCAGGAATGTGGGCCAAACTCAGTCAGCATGGCACTCTGTTAACTAGGAAAGTACTACCAAGAAACACTTCCACAAATGTGTGATAGTATAGTAGAAATTATGATAAGGACTGAGGAGAGAAGGGATGGGAATATGATCAAAGTTACATAAGACTGATTGGGAAGGCCTCTTGAAGGAGCCTTCTTGAACCATTCTGCAGGAATTTACTTCCAGATGTGTACTTCACTTGAGATGTTTCATTTTCTGCCAATTTGTTCTTTTTTTATTTTTCTTTAACTATACTTACTATGAAATATTTCAAGTATACTAAAAAATTCAGAGAAGGACTGAACTTTATTAATCATCTTTAAGGTGGAGGCAGAGCGACGGGCCAGTGAGGAAGAAGAAAACAAAGCCAGTGAAGAATATATACAGAGATTATTGGCAGAAGAGGAAGAAGAGGAGAAAAGACAAGCAGAAAAAAGGCAAAGAGAAATGGAAGAACAACTGAAAAGTGATGAAGAATTGGCAAGAAAACTAAGCATTAATATTGTAAGTTTTAGAGGTTTTCAAAAAACTAAAGAAATAGTGATCACCATAAGTAGAGGCTATTTCTGACATGTTCTACTTCAAGTTACTTAAAACAGTATAAAATGTTTTTGCATATTGTTACATATTTGCTCTAACTCAGGTTACTTAAAAAAAAAAAAAGGAACAGTTTTTTAACATGTTGAGTAAATTAAAATTATACAGGAAAGCTATTCAGTGAAAGCCTTTCTCTCCCCTCCACCTTCTCCACTGCTGTTCTGTTATGTAAGTCTTTCCCCCAAAAGTAACCACTATTAACAGTTTCTTGTAACTTTTTTTCTTATTCACTTAAAAAGTATTGTACCAATCAAACTGTTTTGCTCCCTGCATTTTTTCACTTGATATAGCTTTGAGATGTTTTCACATTACTACATACAGTCTATCTAATTATTTTTAAGGGTGGTATAATATTCCATTGTATTGATATAAATCACTTTTTGACAAGTGAAGCACTTTAAATTCTTAGCTAGTATACCAACCACCAACCCATTGCTGTCGAGTCGAATTCCCGCTTATAGTGATCCTATAGGACAGGGTAGAACTGCCCTATAAGGTTTCCAAGGCTGTGAATCTTTACAAAAGCAGGCTGCCACAACTTACTCCCACACAGTGGCTGGTAGGTTCAAACTTCCGATCTTTTGGTTAGCAGCTGAGTGCTTAACCACTGTGCCACCAGGGCTCCTAACTAGTATACTAAACCTAGATCTTCTTTCCTTGCTATAGTTAAATTACTGCCTGGGAGAAAATGAATCAAAGGATGATAAAACACGTATTTTAAAACCAAAAGATAAAATGGAACTTAGTGGTTTGAAAGTGCCTGGCAGAATCACCTGAGGTTCTTTTAAAATACAAATTCTCATACCTACTCTAAATCTACTAAGTCAGAATCTTTGGGGGTGTTGTGGATTGCATTGTATCTCCCAAAAATGTGTGTCAACTTGGCTAGGCCGTGATTCCCAGTATTGTGTGATTGTCCACCATTTTGTGATCTGATATGATTATCCTGTGTGTGTATCCTGTCCTAACCTATGATGTTAATGAAGCAGGATTAGAGGCAGTTATGTTAATGAGGCAGGACTCAAGCTACAGGACTGGGTTGTATCTTGAGTCAATTTCTTTTGAGATATAGAAGAGAGAATTGAGCAGAGGAGAGGGACCTCATACCACTGAGAGAGAAGCGCTGAGAGCAGAGCACATCCTTTGGACCCAAGGTCCCTGCACTGAGAAGCTCCTAGACCAGGGGAAGATTGATGACAAGGACCTTTCCTCAGAACCAACACAGAGAGAAAGCCTCCCCCTGGAGCTCACACCCTCAATTAGACTTGTAGCCTACTAGACTGTGAGAGAATAAACTTCTGTTTGTTAATGCTATCCACTTGTGGTATTCTTTTATATCAGAACTAGATAACTAAGACAGGGTGAGACTCAGGGAATACCACCCCCAGGGGTATCAACGTCTTATGTCATTCCCATTTGAGAGCCTGCAAACTATTCTTCTGTTTTCAGACAACAAATATCTTAAAATATACTTACAAAATGAAGTATACTCAGAATTTGAATTTTTTTCTTTTTTTAGAGGCCTACCATTCATAATAATACACCCAAGTTTTGAGTTATATGCCCTTTTTTATATAGCCTTTTTTTTTCTTTTTTAAATTTGAGTAGAATAGCTTTGGAAAGTACACATTTAGGAAATTAAATAAATGACATTTACCAAGGAAAGAAAAATACGTAAAAGAAGAGAATTTGGGGTCATCTTTACCTATCTTGGGGAGCCTTGGTTGCACAGTGGTTAAAGCGCCCGACTGCCAACCAAAAGGTTGGCAGTTCGATGTGCCAGTCTGCCTCCATAAAGATTACAACCTTGGAAACCCAATGGGGCAGTTCTCCTCTGTTTTATAGGATTACTATGAGTTGAAATCGACTCGGTGGCAATGGGTTTGGGTGTTTTTTTTTTTTGGTTACCTGTCTATTCTATATTTTTAATCCTTCTTATTTTTACGTGAGATTATAAGAGTAGATTTCATCATATTTTAGAATAATTTTTGGTTAGCTTGTGAAAGTCTGGTGGCCCAAGGCCAAATGTCTGCCAACACTAATTATATGGACCTTTCCAATAGTATAGTAAGAAACTTATGAAGTGGTACAGCAAATAAATACTTGTGACATTTACAGGTATGCCCTTAAAGCCCAAAACTTTTTTACATAAAACTAACTTCTTCTCCTGGCATATTCACAGCTCTTTAAATTTTCCTCTATAGATTAAGATAGTTATATGAAATTATTTTATTAGAAAAGTTAACATAAATTACCAGCTAATAAGATTAGTATCATGTGCACTCTTTCGTGCTTAGTAACATACTGAAAAATGGAACCAATTTAGACCAACTTGAATGAACTTAATTTTGTTTATGCTAATTGTTGTAAAATCAGTATTTTTCAGCGGGTATATAGAATTTAAATGTGAGCATAATCCTTGAAAAATTCTGTCATGGATTTTGAATTAAGAGCTTATTTTATCATAAAGTTCTCTTTAGTAATATTTCTTATGCTTTTTCTGTTGTTGAAGAACAATTTCTGTGAGAGAAGTATTTCGGCTTCTCCCTTGAATTCCAAAAAATGTGATTCGATCACAGTCAAGTCACAAAAGAAAAGTAAGAACCATCAAAGAAACGCTGGAGATATTCAGAAGTAAGTGAACATGACTATTTATCAATTGTTTATTGACCACCTACTATACGACAGTGTTATTTGTTCATATAGACCACTGATGATTAAAGTTTGGTTCATGAACTCTGCATGAAACTCTCCAGTTTGTCTGAAATTGATGTAAAGTGAAAAGAAATGAGCTATTCCCATAGCTTATATTCCTGGCTAGCGCAAAGAGAGATGTGATGGCAGGCTGTTCACCTAGCCACTTGTTTTGGCAGATTGGTACTTTTTATCTTGATAGCTCAGTGTGGGATTTCCATCTTCTTCCATTTTGTTCAGAATGAACCAGTGGGATTTCTCTTTCTCTTAGTTTAGACTCAGGTGAGAAAAGCTGTTTCCAGATAGGGTCATCCTCCTTGAAGGAGTTTACAGTTTAGCATCTGAGTCTAGATTGTTCTCCTGCCCACTTTTTCCCAGTTGATGCATCATGTTTCCTCTCTGTCCTACAAAACACGAGTCAGGTAGTCAGCACTGAAGGGATTTCGTTTCTCCACAACCCCCTTTCAGCAGCAAGTAATAGGAAGAGTTTATGGCTTTATGAAGACATGAGTTTTCCTAGAGTTGGAACCTGAGATACTACTCTACCATGTAGACTTCAAAAACATATACCCTTCCGGTTCAGCTGAGTAAATATATGTAGGTAACTTGCCTCCTTCCAAAATTCATTTAAAGGACAATGAAAGATTGGGGAGTGGAGTGGAGTTAAATCAGACAATTGCTATAAAAAAAAATTGATTGTGACAATGTCAATATTATTAATACTGATGTTATACAAAGTAGAAAGGACAAAAATTATTAAAAGGGGCAAACGAGTGTTTCGTATTGCTGTATTATTATTCTGCCTAAATGATATAATCATCATGAACCTTTATGTATCTAAATATATATTTTGAAGTGTATAAAGATAAAAAATCATTAGAGATCCAAAAGTAATCTGACAAATTAATGAATTTAAAAGCAGAAATTAAGAAACTGGCATATTAAAGTTAAAACAAAAGTTAAAAACAGAAAATAATCATATAAAAATAAAAAGACAGACTTGATTTAAAAAAAGAGACAGGCTATTAGCAAGCCTAACCAAGAAGAAAAAAACATGTAACAGCAGGAGGAACCAAACCAAAAAAACCAAACCTTTTGCCATCGAGTCAATTGCAACTTGTAGTGACCCTACAGGACAGAGTAGAACTGCCCTGTAGGGTTTCCAGGGAGTGCCTGGTGGATTCAAACTGCCAACCTTTTACTTAGCAGCCATAGCTCTTAACCACTACACCACCAGGGTTTCCAGCAGTAGGAAAGAACTGTTAAGATCATAATGAATACTACATAACAAAAAAACTAGACAAATGTTTTCCAACAAGTGCTATTGGCATTTTGGGCAGTATAATTCTTGTTAGGTAGGACTGTGCTTTGTATTTCACAGCATTATTTAGCTTCTCTGTCTCTGGCCCAGTCAATACCAGTAGATTTTCCCCATCCCTCTGAGACAACTAAATGCCCCACAGGTTTCTAAATGCTTCTGGAAGCTTGGTCCCACCCTAGTTTAGATTCACTGATCTACGCTTTAAAAGAGTTTTTTTCTAGAAAAATACCAAAATCAGCTTAGAATGGAAAATTTGAACAGGTAAGAACCATTGAAGAAAATTAGATAATTTTAAAAATTCACACATACCCATACACAAAGTTATATTGGTTATATATATAACTAATTCTAGAAAGATACACCAGAAACTAGAAGCAGTGGTTTACCTCTAGGGAAGGTAATAGGGACACTGTGGGCAGGAGAGAGACTTACTTTACACTGTAAAATCTTTGATATTATTTGTCTTTCTTGCTGTATATATATTTATTTTATCAAAAAGAACAGTCATGAAAAAATAAATCAAGCCCTGCAAAATTGATTTTACAGATGATTTCTGGCAAATCTTGAAGAAATCTAATTCTCACTATTTAATTCAGAGCAGAGAAAACTATAGAAAGCTTTCTAAATAATTTTACAAGGGCAGCACAGGTAAAAGACTTAAAGACTAGAGAAATGCCAAATTTAAAGACGAAAGTTAAATGCCCACAGAAGCTAAGCAGATCATATAAGTGAGTGAAGCTGGCCAGATGTTAAGCACATACATATCCATTGTGAGTAGTTGGGATTATGGGGTTCTGAAGTATTTATACCTGTTGACAGATGGGAGTATAGAGCCATTGTTGGAATCTGGTGATACTATGGAGTTACAGCTTCCAGTTTCTGAAAAGAAGCTAGTAATGCAGATATTTATGTGGTAAATATAAACAAACACTGAATTTATAAAGTAATACAAATGTCCTCTTAGTTTACAGATAGAACTAAAATTTGTGATAATCCTAGAATCCAAGTTGGGGTAAGGTATTTGGAGTCCTGGTTTTGACTGGAAGGAGGAGGGTAAAGATACCTGTTAGTTAACTTTAGACTTTGATACAATAAGTGCATTGTAGCATTTCTGGAGCTTATAAAGGTATATGCAGTTATCAAAACTCATCAGATGCTACACTTGAGTTGTGCATTTTACTGTATATAAATTTATATACTATTATATATATATAAATATATATGAAAATTACAAACAAATAATGAATTGTTAATGGTATCTATATTGAAATGTTTAGGGATGAAGTGTACTGATGTCTGCAACTTATTTTGAAATGCATCAAAAAATAGATGGCTAGATATGTGATAAAAAAAATACAGGACAATATTAACAATTATAGAGCACATATGTGGGTGTTCACTTGCAACTTCCTCTATTTTTGAAATTTTTTATGATAAAATTTGGGGAAAAGGCACAAAAATGCGTGGTAGAAATAAATCCAAGGGTATCAGTCATTATAATAAAAAATAAATAGATTCAATGTTCCATATAAGACAAAGATTATCAGACTAGTTTTTTTTTTTTCAAATTCCAGTTATGTACTACTTGTAAGATACCAGTCCAGTTCCCATCAAGTCTACTCTGACTCGTGTGTCAGAGTAGAACTGTGCTTCATAGGGTTTTCAGTGGCTGATTTTTCAGAAGTAGATCACTAGGCTTTCTTCTGAGGCACCTCTGGTGGCCTCAAACCTCCAACCTTTTGGTTAGCCGCTGAGTACGTTAAGCATTTGCACCACCCAGGGTAAGATAACCTGTTGTTGTCGAGTTGATTCCGACTCATAGCCACCCTGTAGGACAGAGTAGAACTGCCATAGGCTTTCCAAGGTTGTAAATCTTTGCGGAAGCAAATTGCCACATCTTTCTCCCATGGAGTGGCTGGTAGGTTTGAACTGCTGACCTTTAAGTTAGCAATGGAGCACTTAAACAGTGTGCCACCAGGGCTCCTTCAGGGTAAGATACCTATTCTTAAAAAATCAAATGTAGAAAGATTAAAAGGGTGGAAAAAATAAATACCAAGTAGATACTAACCAAAGGAAGGCTGTGATTCTATTTTAATATGAGACAAAAAAGCAACAAGCTTTTAGAGATCAGTAGGGTCAATACATAATGATTAAAAGTTCAACTTGCCCAGAAGACATGACAATTTAAACTTGTATATACCCAAGAATAATACAGCTTCACTTCATCATAACCCATTGCCATCTAGTCGATTCCAACTCATAGCAACCCTACAGAAAAGAGTAGAACTGCCCCATAGAGTTTTCAAGGAGCAGCTGGTGGATTTGAACTGCTGACCTTTCGTTTAGCAGCTGTAGCTCTTAACCACTGCACCACCAGAGCTCCAGACTGTCAAGTAAAAATTCACATAATTACAAAGAGAAGCAGACAAATCCACATTGATAGTGAAAGATAGTAATGTACCCCCTCCCAGTAATTGATAGGTTAAGTAAAAAGAAACATCTATAAGGATAAAATAGATTTGAACAGCTTAGTTAATAAACTTGAACAAATGGACAATATTCCCAACCCTTGCATTGTACACATTCAAGAATACATTGAACATTTATAAAAATTAACCACATTCTGGGCCATAAAGAAGGTTTTAAAATTTTTTCAAAAGATTGGTATCATAAAGAATGCTTTCTCTTTGCCATAATGCATTTAGGTTATAAATAACAAGTGATGTCAGCAAAAATGGTAGAGCAGGGAGCTCTAAGGGCCTGTGCTTCCACAGAAACACTGAATACATGAGTAAAAATTGTCAGAATCAATTTTGTCAGAAATCTAGAAAATAGTCAAAGGTTTACAGCAACCAAATGAGGCTGAACCAAGAAAAAGTGGACCTAAATATAATGTTTAGGGGGCAGTGGTAGTTTAGTACTGGAATTCTCGCCTTCCACATGGGAAACCTGGGCTCAGTTCCCAGCCAGTGCATGTCAAGCACAGCCATCACCCATCACCCATCTTCAGTAGAGGCTTACATGTTGCCATGGTGCGTGCAGCTTTCAGCAGAGCTTCCAGACTAACACAGACTAAGTAAAAAAGCCTGACAATCTCCTGAAAATCAGCCAGTGAAAACCCTATGGATTACAACAGTCCAATCTCATGTGTAGAGTCACCATGAGTCAGGGACCAACTTGATGGCAGCTTACAACAACAACAAACATGATGTTTAAGGAAATCTGTCAAACGACTAGCCTACAGTAAGCTAAAGGAACAGACACTTCAGAGACCACACATTCACAGTCTTCAAAAAGTAGTTTAGAAAAGTAAACAAGCAACTACAACCCCAGCAAACAACAGCAAACCCTGAGGAGAGGCAAGAATCTGTTGCCAGAGAACCACATTATAATTTTCAACAAAACATTATGAGACATGCAAAGAAACAAAGTATTACCCATTCACAGGAAGAATAGAAATTAACAGGAACTGTCCCCAAGGAAGCACAGACATTGGACTTACTAGAAAAAGATTTTAAATCAACTATCTTAAACATGTTCAAAGAGCAAAAGGAAATCAGGAGAATGATAACTCAACAAATGTTGTTGTTAGGTGCCGTCGGGTCGGTTCCGACTCATAGTGACCCTGTGTACCACAGAACGAAACTGTCTGGTCCTGTGCCATGCTCACAATTGTTATGCTTGAGACCATGTTGCAGCCACTGTGTCAACAAATACAGAATATTAATAAAGAAAACGGTTATAAAAAGGAACAAAGTAGAAATATGAAGCTGAAAACTACAATAATTGAAATGAAAAATTTGCTAGAAGGTTTCAGCAGCAGATGTCAGCATGCACAAGAAAGAATCAGCAAAGTCAAAGATAGGTCATTTGAAAGAAAATATCCAGTATGAGAAGCAGAAAGACAAAAGGATGGAGAAAAATGAACAGAGACTAAGAGACCGCTGGGACATCATCAAGAATACCAACATAGGCATAATGGAAACCCCAGAAGGAGAAGAAAGAAAGCAGAGGCAGAAGAAATATTTGAAGAAATAATGGCAAAAAACTTCCCAAATTTGATAAAAAGATATGAATCTACACATCCAATAAGCTCAACAAACTCCAAGTACGATAAAAACAAGAGATTCACACCAAGACACATAAGCTGTTGGATGCCAAAGACACAGAAAATCTTGAAAGCAGTAAGAGAGAGGCAACTCATCATATACAAGGAATCATCAATGAGAATAACAGCCAGTTTTTCATCAGAAATCATGGAGGCCAGAAGGCAGTGGGATGACATATTTAAAGTGCTGAAAGAAAAATACCCTCGCTAAGAATTCTATATTCAGGAGAACTACCCTTCAAAAATGAGGACAAAATTAAGACATTCCCAGATAAACAAAAGATGAGGGAGTTCATTGCTAATAGACCATCCCTTCAAGAAATGCTAAAGGGAGTCCTTCAGGCTGAAATGAAAAGATACTAAACAGTAACTTGAGGCTATAGGAAGAAATAAAGAACACTGGTAAAGGTAACTACACAGGTAAACGTAAAAGCCTACATTATTGCATTTTTGGTTTGTAACTTCTCTTTTTTCCTATATGATTTAAAAGACAGATGCATAAAACAATAATTATGTTAATGACCACACAGTGTATAAAGATGTAACTTATATTACTAACAACTTAAAGAAGGAGGGACAGACTGTATAGCAGCAGAGTTTTTGTATACTATCGAAGCTGTTAGTATTGATTCAAACTAGATTGTTATGAGTTTAAGGCATTAATTGTAATCCCCAGGGTAGCCACTAAGAAAATAACAAAAAATATACAGAAAAGAAAATAAGAAGGGAATCAAAATGGTACATTACAAAATAGCAAACACAAAAGAAGGCAGTAATAGAGGAAACAAGGAACAAAAAATATATGTGATATAGAAAGCAAATAGCAAAATGGAAGAAGTCCTTCCCTATCAATAATTACCTTAAGTGTAAGTGGATTAAACCCTCAGTTAAAAGGCAGATACTCACAGAATGAATTTTATTTTAAAAATAAGCTAATTATATGCTGTCTACAATAGGCTCCTTTTAGATCAGATTCAAAGACACAAGTAGGTTGAAAGAGAAAAGATAGAAAAAGATGTCCCATGCAGATAGTAACTAAAAGAGATTTGTGATAGCTGTACTAATATCAGGGTTTAAGTAAAAAATTATTAAAAGAGACAAAGAAGGACATTATATATTGAAGAAAGAGTCAACTCATCAAAGAGATATAAACATGTTTGAAACTAACAGCAGAGCCACAGAATATATTAAGCAAAAATTGACAGACTTGAAGGGAGAAATAGTCTACAATAATAGTTTGAGACTTAAATACCTCCTTTTCAATAATAGATAGAACAACCAGACAGAAGATCAATAAGGAAATTGAGGACTTGAACAGCAGTATTAACCAACTAGACCTAACAGGCGTATACAGAACACTCCACCCAACAACAGCAGAACATGCATTCTCTGTTATAGACCATATGTGAGGCCAAAAACAAATCTCAGTAAATTTAAAAAGATTGAACCCATACAAAGTATCTTCTCTGACCACAGTAAAATAAAACTATAAATCAATAACAGATGGAAAATTCACAAATATGTGGAAATTAAACAATACACTATTAAATAACCAGTGAGTCAAAGAAGAAATCACAAGGAAGTGTAGAAAATACTTTGAGATGAATGAAAATGGTAACACAAAATACCAAAACTTATGGTATGCAGCAAAAGCATTGCTCAGAGGGAAGTTTATAGCTGTAAATGCCACCATTAAAAAAGAAGAAAGATCTCAAATCAGTTACCTAACTTTACACCGTAAGAAGCTAGAAAAAACAGAGTAAATGAAATCCAAGACTTGCAGAAGGAAGGAAATTATAAAGATAATAGTGAAGATAAATGAAATAGAAAAACAGTACGGAAAATCAACAAAACCAAAAGTTGGTTCTTTGAAAAGGTCAACAAAATTAACAAACCTTTAGCTAGTCCAAGAAAAAACGGAGAAAAGACTCAAATTACTAAAATCAGAAATACAAGTTGGGGCATTACTACCAACCTCACAGAAATGAAAAGGATTATAAGAGACTGCTATGAACAGTTGTGCACTGACAAACAACCTAGATGAAATGGACATATTTCTAGAAACACACACTCCCAAAACAGACCCAAGAAGAAATAGAAAGTTTGAGTACAACTGTAACAAGTAAAGAAGTTAAATCAGTGATCAGAAACCCCCCAACAAAGAAAAGTTTAGGGCCTGATGACTTCACTAGTAAATTCTATGAATACTTAAAGAAGAATTAACACCAATCCTTTTTAAACTCTTCCAAAAAATAGGAGGGAACACTTCCTAACTTACTCTATAAGGCCAGTATTAACGCTGCGACCATAGCCAGACAAAAACCTTACAAGAAAAGAAAACTATTCCTCTGATATTTTTTAAGCCCCTACAGAGCCAAAGGAGCCCTGGTGGCTCAGTTGGTAAGAGCTCAAAAGGTGAACAGTTCGAATCCACCAGCTGCTCCTTGGAAACCCTGTGGAGCAGTTCTGCTATGTCCTGTAAGGTCACTGCTATCAGTCGGAATTGACTCGACGGCAGCAGGTGCAGAGCCAAAATCCTTAACAAAATATTTGCAGAACAAATCCAGGATCATATTAAAAGGATTATATACCATCACCAACTGGGATTTATCCCAGCAATGCAAGGGTGTTTCAACATACAAAAATCAATGTAACACATCACATTAATGACCATAAATGTATGAGAAGGTGGTTCTTGTTTCCAAAAGTTTGCAGAGTAAGTATTTGGACTGATGTAGCTAAATATGTGATTTAGGTACTCTGATTTCAGTCTGTAAGGGACATTCATTCGTTCTTTACAAGAGATCCTTCTCTAGATTTTGTTTTATTGTTGCATATTGTATTCATTGGTGCTTTTGACACAGTGTAACATGTTTTTACATATTATTTGCAATCAGACATTTTTCAGTTTCTTTAATTATAAAAGTAATAGCTAGCCATTCTTTGAAAATTACCCAGTTACCACTACTTAAAGACAACCAACATTTTGGGATGTTTCTGCCATTTTTAAGCAGTTTTGTATGTACGTGTGTTTGGATTTTTTCCAGTTTTTATAATCTGTGTACCATCTCATAATCTACCTTTTCATTCTCACTTCTTTTATGGCATTTTTCATTATATTATAGACTTGAAAGTTTCAGTGGCAAATAGCTATTAAAGATGTTTAGAAATTTAGAGATATGTTGTTTATGCTGATAGATTGCTATATCTGTATGTCTCTAAGCAGATAGTTGATGTAAAATATGTATATAATAAATCTCCATATTAATATTGTAAAGAATCTAATCATAGACTCTTTCCCAACTGTAGTGATAAAAAAATGTTAATAGCCAAAGTTTTTGGCATAAAAAAGAAGCTAACATATGCATCCACTCTCCTGACTTAAAATATTTCCATTACTTTTAGGAAAACTATACAGTCTTGCATTGTATTGATGCCGCCTTTTGTTTTTTGTTTTTAAGAATTACGAAATGATTAAATTTTATTACTATCTAATAAACTGTATTTAAATAATAAAAGAGAAATGATTGTATTTTATTTTTATTTCCCTTTTTACTGCTTTTCATTAGAATATTAAGTTTTGTTGTTGGGTTAGACCAGAATACCTGAAACAAGGAGATGAAATAGATTTTTAAATACATTCTTTCTGATAAATCAGCCAGGTCACAAACCAGCCAACCTCAAGCAAAAATAATTCGTCTGGCTTTATCATATTATGTACATACTACTTGTCTTTCAAAGCATTCAAACTTTGATCAACTTTTTTCTAAGGTATTTGTCACCTAAGTCTCAATTTGGTTCAGCATCACAATCTGAAGTTGTTCAAGAAGACAGGAAAAGCTCCATGTCTAAGGTATGTTGATGCTAAAGATGTTCTCAGTTTGGCAAGTTTACTAATACTGTAGAATATTTTAATGCCTTTAGTTTCCTTCCCACTCACCGCCTTTTTTAAAAATTGTGGTGAAAATAAAAATAAACCATTCGCAATTCAACATTTTTTTTTTAGATGTACAATTCAGTGACATTGAGTAGTCCTTCCTTTTTTTTTTAAGTCACGATGGTAAATGGAGCACCCTTTCTTAATCATTTTAGATACTATTTTTTCTCTGAAGGGCCAGATAGTAATATTTCAGGCTTTGTTGTCCATACAGTCTCTGTCACAGCTATTCAGCTCTGCCATTGTAGCACGTAAGCATCTATGGACAATACATAAACAAATGAGCATGTCTGTGTTCCAATAAAACTTTATTTACAAAAACAGGCAGCAGGCGGGATTTGGAACACGGGCCATAGCTTGCTGATCCCTGTCTGCCCTAGATAATCAGACTCACAAAGCTGAATAGATTACACCTGGCACCAGCTTCCTCTGAGAGACATAGAAGGGAAACACAGCATGCCAGTAGTGCAGCATCAGGCATGTCTGTGCAGGAGAGTCCTCACAGCAGAGCTCCCAAGTGACAGCCTGGGAGAGAGACTGCCCAGAGGAATGTGGGAGCCATCCCGGCACAGGAGCCCCGTGCCCCCAAAGAGTCAGTTATCTCTTATAATAACCCATGGGTGTAGCTTTCAGGTCTTCCGATAAGGAACACACCCGGTCAAAAGAGTTACATCTCACTGACAGAATCTCAAAGCTGTGCCCTCCAGCCAGGTGTTCATAGATCATTCATAGTTCTCCTAGTACGGGTGCAGTTCACCAATCAGGTGTCATTTTTACCATAAGTTGTGTGGCCAGTAACACAGGTGATACTCAACCTTTATCGGGTCCCCAGGAAAATAAAACTAGGAAAAGTGAACCAATACCAAGGTCAGTTTCCTACGCAGAAAGGTAAGTTTTGTTAACTCTTTACTCACAGCTTCCTAACCTTTTTTCCACTTGGCTAGGTGGTTTTATAGTGCCTAAAATGTACAGGACATTTATAATCTGCCAGGTATTATATGTATTGTCTTATTTAATCTTCATCACAACCACCAACTCTGTAAGGTAGGTATCTTTCTTGTCCCCATTTTAAGAGTTGGGAAAACTGAGGTACAAAGAGTTTAAGAGACTTGGCCAAAGACCCTCAAATAGAGGTATAGACAAAGGATTTAAATCCAGATAATCTGGCTCATACTGGAACTAAGAATTGGCGGAAGGGGTATTGTAGGGCTGGGATATTTTTGCAACCCAGGTGTTCATATTCACAGCAAAACTAGGAAGCAACTCAGAATTTGGCCAGTCCAAACCACATTCGTTCATAAGAAATGCAATCAGGAATGAGAAATGCAAAGCAGAGCAGGTGAAAGAACAGATGTAGGGTCTCCAACAGGGATTAGTCTGGTGGCGAAGTTGTTAAGAGCTCAGGCTGTGAACCACAAGGTTGGCAATTCGAATCCACCAGCTGCTCCTGAGAAGCTCTATAGGGCAGTTCTGCTCTGTCCTATAGGGTCGCTATGAGTCGGAATCGACTGGACGGCACACAAAGCAACAACGGGGGTCTTCAACAAGGATTCATCTTTGTTCTGAGGCATATTCACATCTAAGCCTTTTTTCTTAAGGTTTTACCATGGTTAAAACTAATCTTAGGACTTGGCCTACCTAAGTACTATAAGTGGGAAGAAGAATTATACTGGCTAAAGCAAGGGTTCTTAACCTGAGGTCTGTGGTTAGAATCCAGGGTGTACGTATGAACTTGGATGGGAGAAAATGTACATCTTTACTTTCACTAACCTCTAACTAATTTTAACATTTCCTTCAATTATGAATGTAAACAACAAACCACAGCACTGTTCACAGTACCTGTAACTTTGTCATCAGTAGAAATATCATTTATATTCATCCCAACTTTGAAATAAGTTATTAGACTTGTCACTAGATCTTATTATTTAATGTACTAATAAACAAACAAACCCACTGCCATCGAGTCGATTGCGACTCATAGCGACCCTATAGGACAGAGTAGAACTGCCCCACAGGGTTTCCAAGGAGCTGCTGGTGGATTTGAACTGCTGACTTTTGGTTCGCAGCTGAATGCTTAACCACTGTGCCACCAGGGCTCTAACGTATTAATAGATATACGTTATTTCATCACAAATTTGTTTTTTTTTTTTTTTTTAACATTTTGATAATTGTGTTGCAGTGTCCCTTTGTAAGCCTATGTTTTTTGTTTTTTGGTTTTTTTTGGTATTCAAAAATATTCTCAGAAGGAGTCTGTAAGCTTCACCAAAATGCCAAAGGGGTCCATGGCACAGAAAGGGATACCCCTGGGGTAGCCCAACCCCATTGCCATTGAGTCGATTCTGACTCATAGTGGCCCTATAGCACAGAGCAGAACTGCACCATAGGGTTTCCTAAGGCTGTAATCTTTACAGGGGCAGACTGCCACATCTTTCTTCCGCGGAGCAGCTAGTAGGTTCGTACTGCCGACCTTTCAGTTAGCAGCCAAGCACTTAGCCACTGCAACAGCCTGGGCTAGAGGAAGTTTATAACGCAAAAGAAAGGTCAGGTTTTGATGCCACCTATTGGCCATATGTAGAGTCTAGTTTGTGGGTTGAAATCTGTAGGTTTTCACAAGAGTAAAAATGAAGTCATGCCTTAATCTAAATTGCCATATAGAATGCCAGTACTATTAAAGAATTAATATACTTTATTGCTAAAACATAATGTATAGTTATGACTCAGCTGTGGTAATAATGTAATTAGGCTTATATACTGTAGCTCGATGTTTTTCCCTGGTTCACTCAGTCTTTTTAAAATTTTCTACAGGAAATTGACAGTAGAGATTTGACAAGCCCTACATGGCAAGACACAGAAATTGAAGAAGATATGCCAACACTTTCTCCGCAAATATGCCTTGAAATTGAAGAACAGGGTGCCTGGTCTTCAGCAGAGTCACCTATGCCTCAGTTAAGTGCCTGTGGTTCAGAATGGTGCCTTGAAGGAGAAGTCAAAACAAGACCAGACAATCATGATAAAGAGTTATGTGTCGCAGATCATGAGCAACCTACAACCAGAATTCCTTACTCTAGAGAAGCTGCAGTTAAGCCTGGTGGCAAAACAGAGAGTGAGCTCAGTATATCTGATATAACAGAGATAATTGGAAACAACATGGTGGAAACAAAAGATGAAGAGACTAGCCTATGGATCAGTAGTAATGATATTTCCAAAAGAAAAGATCAGGAATCTGAAGCAGTCAAGGATCCATGCTTTTCTGCAAAAAGAAGGAAAATATTCCCCAAAGCTTCCTCAGACCAAGAGGAAACAGAAATCAACTTTACCCAGAAACTGATAGAGTTGGAACATCTCCTTTTTGAGAGACATAAACAAGAAGAGCAGGACAGGTTATTAGCATTACAGCTTCAGAAAGAGGTGGATAAAGAACAAATGAAGCTAAACCGTCAGAAAGGATCCCCAGATGAATATCATTTGCGAGGTACATCCTTTTCTCCAGACAAATTACTAAAGGGGCAGAAGAAGAATTCCAAAGGTAGGAACTTCAAGAGACAAACTGATACGGAACGTTCAAAATCTCGGAGAGGCTCAGATGAAAACTGGCAACCTTCTTTTAAGATCCAGTTGAAACGTTCAGTTACTGTTAATAGAAGAAGGATGCCAAATTCTGCTAGAGATCCTTGTAATGCATCTAAAAGTGCCCATTCCCTACAGCCTAGTAATTCACAGAAAAGTATTTTTCACATGTTTCAGAGATATAGAAAGTAATACATGGGTAAAGGGTGTGTTTTGTGATCTAGTAAAGCTGGATTGTGAAGCTCCCTTTTTGATTATAGAATCTCTTTGTGGATAAGTTTTCTCTGTGGGTGTGTACCCATTGTCCTTAGTTAAAGGATTCTGCGATTACAAGGGAAGAATATACTAATGTGCTTCTGCAAAGCTCAGTGATTGGCAAGGGTCCCAGTCCTTTCCATTATTAATAACTGTGATGTACTAAGGTTGACAATCCTTGTAGGTATAAAAATGCCTTTGCCAACTCCGAGAAATCTTCAAGTGCCGTTCTCTTTCCAAAAAAAATGCATGTTGATGGCTTTTGCTTACCTTTTTGTCATGACTAGTAATCAAATACTAAGTAGTTAAGGAACTCAAGCAGGGTTTAAAAACTAAGTTTTCTTGCTACTTCCCCATATATCTACAGAAGAACTTGAACTGTATCTTCCATCACACTGAAGTAATCTAACTTCCATCTCCCACTTAAATTTTAAGCATTATAGCATTTTCTTTGATTTAGAATGTATTAGGATCAATGTCAAACCAGAAAATCAGAAGCTTCTGGAAATTGGAAATTAGCTGACAGAAAGGAAACTAGGCCCTTGATGCAAAGGAGTTGTGGGGTGAGGCTGGGTGGGGTAGGTTGACAGTTTGGGAGCATTGGATCTGAATGGGTAATCAGAGACTTGGTCCAGGATGGAGTAGCGGGTGTAATTTGGCAGAGCATTCTCCCTTGTCCTTTGTTTGCTGAACGACACAGAAAGGACTTGAGTTTTTACAGCTTTTCACACAATAGTGTCTGGTGTGAACATCAAAATTAGTTACTACTCAATTACTTGAGTTTTTGAAAATTCACATTTCTATTAATTTTCTGTTCCAGGAAAGATGGGATTTTACTGAGAGTTGTATCACAATACAGTGTTGGGAATCCTATGACATAACCGTGTGTTTATTTCCTTATATTATCATTTGTATTGATACTGACTTTTATTTGTGTTTATGGATAAAATCGGAAGGTATAATACTTGGGTTTTGCCCTATCTTATCCCTAAAAGTTAAATCAGAAGGCAGTGATTTTATTTTGAGAAATCTAAAACACAGACTGTTAATGCTTTTGTTTCTTTATTATGAACAGCTTTTGCAAACAAATAGCAGTCTTAACAGCATTTCTGCTGATGTCTACTTAGCCGTCCATTTAATAGAAAAATAAAATATCCTAGAACTAATTCTAGCTTGAATTTGTCAATATTTTTTTTATACATTGTTAAGCATTTTTCCTTCGTATTTTGTAATTGAAATTCTCTTACTCTTTGCGTACTTGATAGAATTTGCTTCAATATTGAGTGGGTAATTATGGGTAGAATTCTAATGCTAATCTAAAATTTAGTTTGCTCTGTCTCAAAAAAATATAAAAAAGTGATTGCCCTCTAAATAAAGATTGTAGTGGAATAAAGTTTAGTCAGAAACTTAAGAACCAAATTTGTCTAAAATAAACTAAAATCTTTTTATTCTCATCAAGCCAGTACTTTTCTAAGAGCAACTTCACTTTATGTTTTAGGGTAGACATTGTTGGTACTCCTCAAATTAAAAATTATCTAATTAAATCTTCCTGGAATAGTCTGTGACCAAGAAGGGGGAAGAACAGCCTAAGGTGTGATATATTTAGAACTTACGTGTTTAACCACTTACTTGTCTGTGAAGAAGTCTTCGAGTACATAAAAATTAAGAACTCTGCATTAAAGAAACTACAAAACGGAAAGTTAGAAGACTTGGCAAACTGAGGAAGGCATAGTTGCAATTCATCACAAACTGCTAATTTCCTTAATTAAAGTAGAGTAAGGAATATCACTTCTGATGTCAGATGGATCCTGGCTGAAAGCAGAGAATACCAGGAAGATGCTTCCCTGTGTTTTATTGACTACGCAAAGGCACTCGTCTGTGTGGATCATTACAAAATATGGATAACATTGCAAAAAGTTGGAATGCCAGAACACATAACTGTGCTCTTGCAGAACCTGTACATAGACCAAGAGGCAGTTGTTCGAACAGAACAAGGGGATACTGCGTGCTTTAAACTCAGGAAAGGTGTGCCTCAGGGTTGTATCCTTTCACCATACTTATTCAATCTGTATGCTGAGTAAATAATCCAAGAAGCTGGACTATATGAAGAAGAATGCAGCATCAGGATTGGAGGAAGATTTATAACAACCTGCAATATGCAGATGACACAACCGTGCTTGCTGAAAGTGAAGAGGACTTGAAGCACTTCAGTATGGATTACACCTCAACATAAAAGAAAACAAATTCTCACAACTGGACCAATAAACAACATCATGATAAATGGAGAAAATATTGAAGTTGTAAAGGATTTCACTTTACTTGGATCCATAATCAATGCCCGTGAAAGCAGCAGTCAAGAAATCAAAAGACGCATTGCATTGGGCAAATCTGCAAAAGACCTGTTAAAGTGTTAAAAAGCAAAGATGTCACTTTGATGACTTAGGTGTGTCTGACCCAACTCATGGTATTTTCAGTCACCTCATTATGCACGTGAAAGCTGGACAGTGAATAAGGAGGACCAAACAATTGATGCATTTGAATTACAGTGTTGGCGAAGAATGTTGAATATACCATGGACTGCCAGAGAACGAACAAGTCTGTTCTGGAAGAAGTACAGCCAAAATGTTCCTTAGAAGTGAGGATAGTGACTTCGTCTTGCTTACTTTGGACATGTTATCAGAGGGGACCAATCACTGGAGAAGGACATTATCCTAGTCATCTAGTGCTGCTATAACAGAAATGCCACAAGTGGATGGCTGTAACAAAGAGAAGTTTATTCTCTCACAGTCCAGTAGGCTACAAGTCCAAATTAAGTGCGTCACCTCTAGGGGAATGTTTTTTTTGTCGACTCTGGAGGAAGGTCCGTGTCATCAGTCTTCTCTCGGTTTGGGAGCTTCTCTGCGCAGGAACCTCAGGTCCAAAGGATGCGCTCTGCTCCCAGGACTGCTTTCTTGGGTTCCCATGTGTCTCTGCTCACTTCTCTCTTTTATATCTCAAAAGAGATTGGCTTAAGACACTATTCTTGCAGACCTCATCAGTGTAACTGATGCTAATCCATCTTATTACATCACAGTGATAGAGTTTACAACACATAAGGAAATCACATCAGATTACAAAATGGCACACAGTCATACAATACTGGGAATCAGGACCCAGCCAAACTGATACACACATTTTTTTGGGGGACATAATTCAATCCATGACAGACATCATTCTTGGTAAAATGAGGGTCAGCGAAAGAGAGGAAGACCCTCAACAAAATGGATTAACACAGTGGCTGCAACAATGGGCTCAGGCATAGCAAGGATTGTGAGGATGGCGCAGCCCCAGACAGTGTTTTGTTCTGTTGTACATAGGGTCGCTATGCGTCAGAACCTCCTGGACGGTTCCTAATAACAACAGCAACCATCATTTAAGAAAAAAGACTAAAACCCCATTGGAAAAATTAGAAAAGTTTATGTGCAGTTCCCAGGAAAGGAAATATAAATGGCTCTTCAATACGTGTAAAGATGCTTAATTTCACTTTTACTGATGCTTACACATTTTTCCACCCTTCAGATTAGTGAAGATAATTTTTTGTTTTCTTGTTTGTATGTTTATCCTGGTAAGAGTGTGGGGAGATGGGCACTCTGTTACATCACTGATGTGAATAGAAAATTGAAAATCTCTATGGAGGTAATCTTGACAATTTTACCTCTAGGAATTCCTTAAAGCTATTTTCACATGTGTGCAGAATGACATGTGCAAAAAAGATTTGTTGTAGCAGTATTTGTAATAACATAAGCTTAGAAACAACCTTAATGTCCATCAATAGACATTAGATAAATGCTAGTACAATGGAATACTATACAGCAGTAAAGAAAAAAATTTACTGATAAGAAAAGAACTATCAGATACAGAGTTAAATGAAAAATACAAGATGTAGAATAGTGTGTGTAGTGTACAACCATTTGTCCAAAAAAGAGAAATGCATGTGTGTGTGTGTGTGTGTGTGTGTGTGTGTGTGTGTGTGTGTGTGTGTTTGTACTGTGAAAGCCAGAACTTGACAGGACTGCTTTGTTTTTCTGGGTCTCGCAAGTTTTCCAACTTTGGCAGGGTGCAGTTTTACCACTATTTTATTGCTCACTTCAGTGGAAAATATTTGAGTTTTCCTTCTCTGAATCATGTTGAATATATTATCTAGCACACTTAAATGTTCTTAAAGCATTACAAGATAAAGCATATTTATGCATCTCAGCCTACACTACTCTAGATGGCCTTTTTAAGTTTTAAAATTATAGTCCAGGAAAGTTTTTCAGCATGAAAAATGCTAGCATTCGGCATTGTGAATTTTTGGCTTATTTAGCTTCAATGTATTACTTTAAAATTATTTGAAAAGCAAAACTTACACTTCCCAGGTAGGATGGAGTAACTTGCAGCAGACCCGCTGAGAACAATTAGAAAAGCCAGATAAAAGTTTAAAGCCATCTGCTTAAAAGCATCAGAGCTACTGAAACAATGAAAACTAAAGGGACTAAGATGATAGGTGACCTGATGTGTCATCCACTTTTTCCCCTGGTGGCATGTGTCTGTTCTGGGTGCAGTACAAGTGCCAGGGCTGCTTCTGGTGAACAGAGAAACTCTCAGAGTTCTTGGCTGTCCCATGAGGCTGGTGGGACAGTATTGGAGACTCGAGGGTCTGCAGACACATGGCTGGTTTTCCTGTTAAGATACTTGCAGAGTTTGGGATCTGCTCAGCAGAGGCTTAAAAACCCAGGCTGAAAGCCTCTGCAAAGTTTTTATCAGGCTCACAGTGCTGATGAGATAAAGGATTAGAGTTCAGGACTTACCAGGGGAAGGAACTCTGTTGAACACACCAGGGTCTTAATTGGAAAGCCCTGGAGCAGGGAGAGCTGGGGTCTGCAAACTACACTCCAGGGGCCAGATCTGGCCCACCACCTATTTTCTTGGGCCTGTGAGCTAAGAAGGATTTTAAATGACTTTTAAATTCTTTGGTAGGTTTACAAGCATTTAATCCATAAAGAATTGAACTACAAGACTAGTAATTCTTACGTGAGTTCTGGACCACCAAAACAAGGGCATGTAGTGAAGAAGGGAAGAAAAAATAATTCCCTTCTTGGTTTTGACCTTTGTGACCCTGGGTGACTGCTTAACTTCCCTGAACCTCACTTTATTAATTTATAAAATGGGAATCATAGGGTAACTAACTGATTTGCTATGAAGAGTTACGGGAGGTAATACACATGGAGCACCTGGTATAGGCCCTGACTCAAAAAAGACCCTTAAGTGATGGTTTCTTCCCTCTGGTTATTCACCTCCATTACTCCACCTGTCCCCCTTTTGGAGAGAGTCTCATTTCTTGGAGTCATCCAATAGCCTCGTGCTCCCATAAGTCCCCAGATATGGCATCCAACAAATTACAGTTATCTTCTGTCTACTGGTGAAGACTCCACTCACCTGTCTCCTGCCAGATGTATCCATAGCTCCCTGTATCATAACAGAGCCCTGCCCATAAGCTCCCCTGTGCCACAGGCATGTTCACAGCTCCTGTGTCTCAAGAGACCCTGGCCCCAGAGAAAAACCAGTTCTCAGAAATACCTTGTGGCTTGCTCAAGCTCCTCTACTAACTACTAATTTGCTATGCATAAAGGTGTGTAAAACGCACTAAAAACTTGGAGGTATTAAGACTGAGGAGTTGAACCAAGTGCTGTATGCATGTTTCTGTATTTCTTCTTCCTGTGTGAAGATATTAATAATCAAGACTTTAAATTTTGAGTCTGATTTTTTTTTCCAGAATATTTTGCCTTGTCTTGGCAGGACTTGGGAACAACATCAACGCAGAGGTCAACAGAGGGGCTTCTTCTCTTTCCGTGTCTCTTCCACTTGGCTTTTGTGGTCCTGGCTGCCGCAGTTAGACTCCGTCCCAACGAGTTCCATTCAGAAGGCTCTCTCAGTTGGGGATCCTAAACTGAGCCTGTTATTCTGCGTGTCCATCGTTTGCGTCATTCCTCTCCACCTCTTAAAATCTTTCTTGTAAGACCCATAAAAATCTTGGTGTCTCTTTTCTACTTTAGGTTAGACGGACTTACCTCCCAAGTCCTGGGCTCAGGAGGAGAGCCTGGCTCCCTGCTCAGCATATACTAGACAAATAAAGGCTATACTGGGTGTGTGGGTGAAGAAAACAAAAACCACAAGAGGTATTTCAGAGAGGATTCAGTATAGGGAATTGGCTACACAGGTGTTGGAGCAAAAGGGAATGCCGAGATAACCCAAAGATGGTAACGGCAGGAAGTGGCTCCCACTCAAAGCTGAAAAACGAAAGGGAGGGGTTTTGGTTACAAGAATACAGGAGCCCAGGCTGCAGGGGAGGGCAGACCTCTAAGAACGAAACACCTCCCAGCTGCTGCTGATCCCTCAAAGGGCAATGAGGCGAGGCTAGTTCTAGAAGAAAGAATCTGGAGGCCAGCACCAACTGCCACTGTTGGGGCACTGACGGGAACAGCAAAAAACAGGAAAGGAGTCTCCTTTTTCCCTTTCCTGTCTACTACTTCTTACTAATAGAAACTAATAGGAAACTGGCAAATGGGTCAGGCAAAATGATTTTTTATATCACAGAGTTTAGGACAGGTTTGGAGCTAAGAGACAGAGAGGAGTGGGGGGAAGCACACGAGAGATGGCTTGCAAGTATAGGTTTCCTTTACTGGATTCTGGGACTAAGATGTCTTGAAATTTCTAAGGTAGAAACTTGGACAGCCCTATCCTGACAAGATGGAGTCATGTATGTGGATAAATGCTTATCCACAATGCCCAGGAGAGGTGGTAAAACCTCATGGAGACTGTATGGAAGAAAAATGTGGAGAAGCCTTCTCAAGTACCTGTAGAAAGCCTTCCTAATTGTTCAGTTTCTGTTATCCTGATTATACCCTTGTGTGCTCATCTTGACCAGAGCTGATGAGTCAGAGAGTTAGGTTTGTCAGTGCCACCCCATACACAAACTGGAGTCACCTAAAGCCACTATT